TAAGCTTTCGTGGGGAAAAAACCCCCCTCTTTAGATGAGGGTTTTTTCCCCCAAAGCTTATGCCCAAATAAATCTGTTAGTCTTTAAAGTGCCACCAGACTCCTTGTTTTTGTAGATACAGACTAACACGGCTACCCCCCGATACCTGGTACATTTCTGTCACATGATTAGATGAGAATCATTTTAACAGTTAGGTATCTGGCTTGATTCCTCTCATATTTGAAATTCACTTTCAGCAAATATGCTGCAATATGACCTTGAAACTCACCATGTCAACAAATATTCCTACCAAAAACCTTAATGACAATATTTGTGGAAAGAAACATCTGTGCAACACTTTCATAATGTCTAAATTGAGCCAAGGTGTAAGAAAGAATCCAGATTGATTTAAGATCCTAGCTTGATTTCACGTGACTGGCAAGTCAAAGAAAAATCTTTTTACTCATGCGCTAACCAAATCATGAGGGAATCTCTCAGAAATCATCCGCTTTTACCAGATCCAGCAAAGAACTAAAGCACATGCTTTAATTTGCCATGAATGGGACTGCGCTCAGGCTTATATTTAATTGCTTAATAGTGGCATAATCAACAGTGCCTAAGCATGCTAACCTCATAAATACACAGACTTTAAAGTATGACAATCTAATCTGACCCTCTGCAAATTGCAGGCCAAAGTGCCACACCCACCCGCTCCTGTAATAGGCCCATAACCTTGGGCTGAGTTAATGAAGTCCTCAAATTTTGATATAAAGACTTCAAGTTGCAAAGAATCGCCTGAGATCAATGGGAGTTAGGCACCTAAATCACTTATAGTGGGATACAGAAAGGCACCCAAGTGTTTTGCAAAATCATGGCCTGTAAATGATGGTAACTCAACTACAGCAGACCTGAAATCTAATAATGGCAGAGAAGGTAAATATTTTGCATTCAGATGTGTTTAGATAGTTATTCACTTACTGTTAAGGCTTGTCCACACGGTGGAGTAATGTGCTCTATGGAGGTATTGATTTCTCAAGCTCATTAACATGTTGCATATTCATTGGACCGTGTAGACTCTGCTAGCATGCTTTAATTAATGCTGCTTGAAACAATACTACATTAAAGTGCACTTGGGAACCTGTAGTGCACAGCAGAGTCTAGATGGGCCAATTAATGTGCAGCACATTGGTGCACTTTAAATCACCCCCCACCTCTCATAAAGCGCATTATCCTACCATGTAGACACGCCCGTAGCTGAACCTCTGTAACCCTGGTAACATAAGTGTAACTGCAAACGAGTAAATGAGACATAATCTACCCTATTACATTCATGTATATTCTGTTAATAGTAGGAGCTCTTGGATATTTTTTTAATAAACATTTCAGTTCAACTATATATATGGAAATGAATTGGAAAGACCGTGTTTACATCTGGATCCAGATGAGATTTAGGTTGGGGTTTGAGTTCAGGGTTGAATCCGGGCTCAATAGTGCCAAATTGGATTAAAAAGAGCCAAATTCTCACAAAATTTCAGCCTCATCTGAACTATATATGGAAAATTAACCCCTTTTGGGTATTGACCAAATCATCATCATTCTTCCCATGCCATCAGGTGCATAACGCAGAAGCCAGATGGTGCAAACCATCCCTATTCCTGGGCTTGTTTCTCCAGCTCTTTTATATTCAGATGTAGTAAGGCTGCGCCACCCATCACTGTGCTACCGAATGTGCCTCTAGATCCGCCTCTCCATCCCTTGCACTGGGGGTCACCAAAGACATGCTTGTTTAGGTTGCCTGTTATTATGGGCCAAATCCAAAATCAAAACTATAGGCATCCATTTTGGATCTGTAGTGTCAAACCACACACACACACAAATTCAAAGTTGTTCGGATTCTAAGTTCCCATTTTAGCTGATCTACACTTTAAATATCTTGGCCCTTTTAAAACATTTGAAAACAATATTTTTTAGCCTTCCAAAAAAACTATGATGCTTGTGGCTGTTCTAAAATAACTTCAGATACTTAAACCATTTTTGTTAACAATAGTGAAATGATCCAGTAATGGAAGAATCAGCTCCTTAAAAGTTATGTGGCCTCATAAGCACTATTAACTTTCCTGGGAGTTACTGTCTGGATAATGGAGAACAGACTGTTAGATGAATCCCAGGCTAATGCGATCTGAATGGCCATGAGAATAACTCCACTGATCTTAATCTTAATGATGATGTAGCATGCTGTTGAGGGAGGGGCTTGGTGTCCGCACCAGGCAGTACCTCCATGATTGAAAGGCCTGGATCTCAGCCTCCACTGTGACCAGGCCGAGAAGGGGTGCTTAGGCAGGGCTTTCTGGGCCCAGAGCTGCTCCTTAACCCTTTCCACCCTGGTGTGGAGCTTATATCACACAGCCTCCCCTTCAAGCTAGGACCCAGTGGTGGATCTTTCTCCTGCTCTTCTCCCCCATCCAGAGAGAAAAAAAATCAACGTTTGCTTGTGCCTTTCCGAGGCAGTGGAGCACCTTGGAGTTTGTCCCTTGGAGGAATAGTTTCATACTCAAATATAATGCCAGGTGTTCTTCGCTGTCTGCTTCTTGGGACAACATGTCCCCGAGGCCCACCACTGATGCATCTGTCTGTAGGATAAATGACTTGGAAAAATCAAGGTAAAAGAGAACTGGCCCCTGGATTAGCTGGTCCTTCAAAGTCTAGAAGTCTCTGTCACATGGCTCCGTCCAATGCACCTTCCTGGGTGGGGTCCTCTTTATGAGGTTCATAAGAGGGGCAGATATTGTGGCAAAGCTAGGCACAAAACGTCTATAATAGCCAATCAGGCTGATGAAACACTGAATCTGCTTTTTGTTTGCAAGGGCTGGGCAATCAGTCAGTGCCTGGACTTTATCCAAAGGAGGTGTAGTCAGCCCCGCCTCACTGCGTACCCAAGGTATGTCACTTCTCTCTGCCCCAGGCAGCACTTGTCCAGGTTTGTGGTAAGCCCTGCATTCTCGAGAACTTGGACGACCGCGGTGATGTGATGCAGGTGGTCCTCCCATCTGCTACTATAAATGACTATGTCATTAAAACAGGCAGCCACGTACTGGTTGTGGGGTCACAGCACCTAGTCCATTAGTCGCTGAAAGATTGTAGCCTCTCCGTGCAGGCCGAAGGGCATCGTCATGAATTGATAGAGGCCAAAAGGTGTTAGGAAGGTTATCTTCTCCCAGGATGCC